ATACGGTTCAGTCTGATTATTTTTTCATCAATACGTTTCCTTGTGAACTAAAAATGCTGCTGTAACCCCTTCACTGCTCATATACATCTAGATTGCTTGGCTACAGATACAGGTGAAACTCGAATAATTAGAATATCGTGCAAAAGTAATTGCAGTAAGTGCTGCAAAAGGGGCCCAAACCAAGTACTGAGTACATATGCATGCTTGTACTTTTCAGGGGTCCGATATTGTTCTATGTACAATCCTTGTTTCATTGATTGCATGTAATATTCTACTTTTCTGAGGTTGTGGATTTGGGGTTCTTGGGGGTTTCATGAGCTGACAGGCTGCTGCCCGATTGATCCGTGTGGTGTGAGGTGTGTGTATATAATGTGCTGTAAAGAATGACATTTCACCCTGACTTGTAATACGGTTCAGTCTGATTATTTTTTCATCAATACGTTTCCTTGTGAACTAAAAATGCTGCTGTAACCCCTTCACTGCTCATATACATCTAGATTGCTTGGCTACAGATACAGGTGAAACTCGAATAATTAGAATATCGTGCAAAAGTAATTGCAGTAAGTGCTGCAAAAGGGGCCCAAACCAAGTACTGAGTACATATGCATGCTTGTACTTTTCAGGGGTCCGATATTGTTCTATGTACAATCCTTGTTTCATTGATTGCATGTAATATTCTACTTTTCTGAGGTTGTGGATTTGGGGTTCTTGGGGGTTTCATGAGCTGTAAGCCATAATCATCACAATGATGACAAATCACAGCTTGAACTATCTTGCTTTGCATGTAATGAGTCTCTCTCATATATTAGTTTCACCGCATAAGTTGCATTAGTGAAATAAATGAACTTTGCACCATATTCTAATTATTCCAGTTTCACCTGTATATATATTTATAATTGTTCAGTGCGGAAGGTCAGTAACACTCCCATAAACCGATCTCCAGGCCGATATAAGACACAACGTAATCCAGTCATGTATTCATTGAAACAAATCACTCATTTCATGCATTTGTATATGCATCTGGTATAAGTACATCAATCTGTCTTCATATCAGCCTCCCTGCACAGCAGCAGAAAGGAAAGGCCAGAATCAAGGGACTGACGGGGCTCTCGAGGCTTTGCAGTGCTGTCATTCTAACATAGAAGCATGCTTACAGGAGGGGAGCACATGGAGATGACACCATCAGTGTTCATCCAATCACAGCCTGGCACAGATGGATTTGTTTAGCATTCTGCAGGCTACCTAAATGAGGCCGAACATGCTTATAAATCCCAAAGCAGTTCATGTTTTACCTACGAATTGAGTTATTTCCCTAGAATCCACCTTCAAAGCTGAACTCCGGGATAATCAGATATCATCCTCATACAAGAGTCCTGTGTGTTCTTCTTGAATCTCGGAGAGCTTTGTGTATTTCTTCCAGATCTGTGCAGTCATCCCGTGTGAGACTCGGAGCTTCCTGTAATATAGACCGGTCACTGATGCGCTCTCTCCTCGTGCAGGGTGACTGGTCTTGTCTCCGCCCCCTCCTGTAATAAAGACTGTCACTGCTGCTCTCTCTCCTTGCGCAGGGTGACTGGTCTTGTCTCCGCCCCCTCCTGTAATAAAGACCGGTCACTGCTGCGCTCTCTCCTCGTGCAGGGTGACTGGTCTTGTCTCTGCCCCCTCCTGTAATAAAGACTGGTCACTGCTCTCTCTCCTTGTGCAGAGTGACTGGTCTTGCCTCCGCCCCTCCTGTAATAAAGACCGATCACTGCTGCTCTCTCTCCTTGTGAAGGCTGACAGGTCTTGTCTCCGCCCCCTCCTGTAATAAAGACTGGTCACTGCTGCTCTCTCTCCTTGTGCAGGGTGACTGGTCATGTCTCCGCCCCCCTCCTGTAATAAAGACCGATCACAGCTGCTCTCTCTCCTTCTGCAGGCTGACTGGTCTTGTCTCCGCCCCCTCCTCCAGTTTCCTGCAGTGGGCGGAGCCTACCGGGCCTCTCCCACATCTCTGCTCTCTGCACAGGCTATGTACAGCACAGTGATGATGTCACTGCCACTTTTATAAAGTAATACTTGAGTTGGTAAAGGAATTTGGTGCACACAAAGTGAATTTATATCCTTAGAAATGAAACAGTTTGTGTCCGGAGTTTAGATTTAAGGATTGGGTGATTCGGGAGGCTGAGACACTTTGCCGAGAGGCAAAGAACATCAGCAGCTTTAGCTTCTGGGGCCCATTAAATATCATTCAAATAAAAATGAAATATTTGACACCTTAGCCACACAATTCCTAAATGTAACTTTTATCGAGCATACCCCAGGGGACATCTCAGGCGATGGGCCCACCAGAAATGTAGGTTGGGTTGTGGGCACATGGGTGCTATTTGGCTATAGAGATCATCTCCTGTGATCCCCAGTTACTAATCAATAGCCACTGCTACACATAGGCAGCAATGGAGAGGAGTGATGTCACTCACGCAGCTGGGCGGATCCCGACGTCCATGTCGGGATCCGTCCCGCCTGCGGCGTCTCAGTATATAGGGAGCTGTAGCTCCCGCTATATACTGAGCTTAGGGTGACCGGAGGACGCTAGTTTGTGTCCTTCCGTTACCCTAAAGAGAACTATGGGGAAAAACACTGACCCCATAGTTCTCCTTTAAAATGAACATTTGTTGAACACAACAGCTCGGTGTGCTGGTGACATCCTTGATATAATCACTATTAGTAACGCAGTGCTACAAATTTGGGTGATCGATCGCTCCTATTACACTTTGTCGTGGCCTGTGCCTAGCAATTGTTAGCGCCTAGTAGCTGGCCGATCACAGGCAATGATGACCATAGCAAAAATGACCTGTATGGCCAGTCTTAATGAGCGATTTAAATCTCCGGGACTCCTAAATATGACAAAGGACCAAAGTTACCCAAATAACACAACCTAGCCCCCTTCCTTTCTATTGCTATAAGCCGTTTCTTTACCAGCAAGACATTCCACCTTTGTATGCAGTTGAGTAGCCTATAGTACCTGTATATTATATGTACCGATAGAATGCAGGTATCAACCTACAGAGCGCCCCCCCGTGGATGAGAAGTTATTTGTATGACATGTGAATGTATGGCCCCGTGCAACATTAGTAAAATGAAAGAATGTGAAATAACAGCAAGTCTGAATCCCCCGGGGGAGTTTAAATATTCAACTATCACAAGACATGGCTAGCCCAGACATTGCGGTCACCAGGGAGGGGGGGGGGGCCTGAAATTTTCGCAAACAAAGGATAA